ACAGTACCTCCGCTAAATGAATTTGATCCTCATTTGAAGAAAAATGAAGCCCATCTTGCACCTCTCTATTCATTAAACCAAACTCCACAAACACCATAACGTTTCAGGGAAATCGCGTCTTAAGATATCTATGGATCAACATTTACTTGCTGATAAAGGCTCCTTGGACATATATGGCTGGAATCCTAGCTTAAGTCCCAGAAATTGTTTAGATAGTCTAACGTTTTCGCAACAAAATAGCGCGCCATAAGTAAACCCAGAAATCTGCTTTCATTTCTTATTAACTTACAGGTGTGAAAAATTCGGAAAGTTTTTACTTAATGATAATTTATAGTTTGTTGGGTTTCTTGATATTCGTGGAAAAAATCGGTGGTTAGGATGTCGCCTAATTCAATTTTCCTGAGGTCCAACTTACCGTTCTGGAGTAAGATTAGTGTAGCTCTTAAGTTTAACTTTCAGTTCATTTTTATGTCTACTATTTTCATTTTAGTTTTTGATTATTTTTCAGCTACCTTACCTTTTTTGCTTACCTTACTTTAGTTTACGTTCTTTAGTTAGTTCATTTTAGTTTTAGTTAATCATTTTTTAATTTATTTACTTCCCAATACTTGCATAATTGCACATTTTAATTATGGCGGGCGTTTTTGTTGACAAACAGTAGATTCTTTAAATATTTTTCCAGTTTTTTGTACTTCTATCGACTTTATTTTTTATTTATATTTCCCTTCTTTTGTATTGCCCAGACTGTATACTCTTTAGTACACCCAGTCTAGTATTGCAGAAGGATGGGGCTTTCGCGTGCTGATCTGAGATTCAAAATAGGATTCTACCGGCATACAGTAAATTAAGTATAAAATTTAAAGATTGCGCAATTTGCTATCAAAGGAGTCCAAGAAATACTTTTCTCGCGTATGTTGTCCATAAAATATATTTTAATTTATAAGAGCAGTCAAAATCAATTATGGAAATACATACTACTTAAGTAGCCAGTTTTTAAGGTATATACTTGTTGTTAGCCGTCAGAAATAAGCTTTTTAAAAAGCGGGCATCCTGACGTGGCCAAAAATATATTGAGATTAGGCTGGACGATCGTCAGTACTACAACTATACGTAATTAATATTCTTGAATCGAAAACGCATTTCAAAGTTCCGGGTGATATTTTATGCGATAGGGAATCTACCGTATGTACATGAATTTCGAATTTGAGCCACCCATTTTTTTTGCTCTCCATTCACGTGGGAATTTATTTCCCTATACCCTCCTCTCTAATCCTATGCTTTGTTTGTCTGCATTTGTGATCATGAGGTCATA